TCCTCCTCCTCCTCCTCCCTTTGCCCCCCAGCCTCCCCTCACCTCCTCTGCCATCTCCAGCAGGGCCTTGTTGCTGCTCTCCCAGCGGGAGCGGTACATGGTGGTCTCCTTCTCCAGCTTCTTGATTTTCTTGGTCATCTACAGAATCACAAATCAAGTCATAAAATGTCCTAAACCCCGCAGGGATCAAAATAAACCAACCCCAGGGAGAGCAGTGCAGTGACATCCCACAGGTCCTCATGTGTCACCCTAAATTTTGGGTGTAGACTTAAAATGAACTGAAATTTGGAGCTGGGGGAGAAAAACATCACCCACCTTCTCCATCTCCTGTTTGAACGTTGTGAACACTTCACTGCTTTTGGAAAGGGTGTTCTGGAACTCCTCAAACTTCTCAGTGTACAGAGCCAGCTGTGGAGAGACAGGGAGCTGATGGCAGCAGGGCTGGGGAGGGCAGAGCCCAGCCCTGGCACAAACAGTGCAAACAGAGCAGGAGCTGCTCTGCCAAAGGCAAATTCTGTCCCAGGAAACATCCTGAGAGCAGGGAGCTCCACAAACAACTCCTGGCTGCTCCCATGACTGCTCCAGCACTGGGAAACAGCCCCTGAATGAAAGCTCAGCTCAGGGATCCTGCTCCTGTTTTCCAGATTAAACAACTTTGGGTTGTTCAGGTAGGGAGGGAAGGGAGGGAAATCCTCAAACCAAACAAGCTGAGCAGGGAACTCACCTGCTGCTTGAGGTGGGTCTCCTGCTGCTTCATCAGCTCACACATCCTCTGGGACTCCACAGCTTCCTTCAGCAGCTGGCAAAAAGGAGCAAAGAATTATCTGGGGATGCTCTGCTGCTCAGGAGAGGCACAAGGAGCTCAGCAGAGCTCCAGGATAACACCCACACTGAGACCCCAAAACTGCCTCCATCACTGCTCCAACACTTACAAAATCCTTCTCCTGCTGGTGCCTCTCCTCTGCCTCCTTCAGCATCTCCTGGGCCTGCTGCAGTTTGGCATCCACCAGCTGCTGCTGCAGCTCCTTGTGCTTGAACACCTTGTCAATGTGCTGCAGGGGACAGCAGAGCTCAGGGCACAGCCAGAGCAGAGGAAAAGCTCCCAGGGCTGACCAGGAAACTCCTCTGCCTGCCCTAAAGGGCTCACAGGGAAAACCACCCATGCCTTTGATTTCAGCCCTTAGAAAAAACAATTCCCTTTCATTTTAGAAAAAAAAAACTCCCACTTTCATGTGAAGAATTACAAGTAAAGAGAGATTAAGTAGAA